AAGTGCCTTGTTTCGGTTTTTATTTTGGTGCTGGGCATCAAAACAAGGTATCACACATGATGCATTTTTAAAGAAGGAAGACCGTAGACATACAGACACACAGACACACAGACTGCAACCTGGAAGAACGGGGCGGGGGGCAGAATGTCTGGGAGATGAAATCCGTACCTGATGACCGTAGTGCACACCTGTAATCCCAGCACTTGGGAGGCAGAGGAGGAGCCCCTGAGATCAAAGACAGCTTGGGTTATGTAGTCAAGGTGATGTCAGCCAGGACCCCATTGCGGACCTTGGAAGAGCTTGGTACCATGGTGACTTCCGGGGAGCAGGGGAGAAGGTGGATGGCAGTGGTCTCTCAACCTTCCTCACGTTGTGACATTTTAATATAGTTCCTCCTGTTGTGGTGACGCCCCTCAACCATAAACTTATTTCTTTGCCATTTAGTAACTGTAATTTTATTGCTGGTATGAATTGTAATGTCAATATCTGATATGCAAGATATCTGACATGTGACTCCCAAAGGGGTCTTGACCCACAGGGTCTTGACCACCGGATTAAGGGACTATTTGCAGCTGATTTCAGCCAGGGGTGGCGTTTTAATTTTTAACAAAGATAATGTCTTTGTGCTTGACTTGTGAAATTAAATATTAATTCATGCTGAAGAGGGGCCTGGCCAGCATCTGGCTGCTGAGGCTGCAACCTTTGTCTTATCTCTCCAAGGTAGAGCCTAACCCCAAGAGCGCCAGGAGGCTGTGCAGGCCTTTATCGCCTGGAGCCAGCCCCTCATGTGAAAGCCCCACCTTCTGGAGTCAGCCCGCCCTCCCATGATGCCTTGCAGCCTTTTTTTTTTTTTTTTGTTACATTTATGTGCTGCACTGAAGCATCAGAAACTCGCTCACACATGGTCTCCATCCGAGAATTTGTTTCATTGTGTTTGTTTATACATCCCTGTTGCTGGGGCCTCAGTGCACAAGGCGGGCACTTTCTGTGCTCTACACCTGGCTAGAGGTAACTTGTTCATTACAAATAGCAAAGGCTGACTGCTCTACAGCAGAGCCTAGCAACCGCTCCAAGCTGACGTCATGGACACACTGTTCCTCCTACGGGAAGTTCCAGGCACAGCGCATCACAGCCAGGCCCACTATGGACGCAGAACCAGATCTCTAAATGTCTTGCACTCTAAAGGCGTCCGTTCATCAGTAGGGCTGGCACATGCCTCTGAACCCAATGCTCCGGAGGCGGAGGAGTTCAAAAGAGAGGGAGGCGAAGCTCTGGCCTAGATTGAACAGATAAAAGATAGCTGAGTGGTTAGGAGCACTGGCTGCTCTTCTAGAGGACCCAGGTTCAATTCCCAGCACCCACATGGCAGCTCATAGCTGCCTGTAACTCCAAGATCCAACATTGTCATACAGATGTACATGCAGGCAAAACACCAATGCACATGAAGTAAAAATAGATATATAAATAAATTAGAAAGAGACAGAGGTGAAAGGACATGCATGAAAACTCAGTGTGAATGGGGTCCAAGATCTGAAAGACGAATCCCATAAAGAGACAGTTTTATGGGCTGCAAGATGGCTCAGCAGGTGAAGGGGCTTGCTGCCGAGCCCGACAGCCCAAGTTCTATCACCAGGACTGGCATGATAGAGGGCAAGAGCCCCTCTTGCAGATTGTCCTCTGACCTCCTCACTTGAGCTGTGGCAAGCAACAAACAGCCATACAGAGAATAAATGAATGAATGCATGGATGAATGAATGAATGAATGTAATCTGAAACATTTGAAAAAGACAGTTGGCAAAATGTGAGTTGTGGAGTCAGAGATGAAAGCCTCACATTATATCAAGGTTTAAAACTGTACCTGGACATAGCAGATACCGTTGAGCCCAGCTGACACACACCGAAGCCCAGTAGAGAAGAAGTTCTGTGCTTCCAGCTACCTCCCTAATGGGTTGGCACAGGGGTGGGCAAACTTCCTTGGCAAAGGGCCAAATAGAGAAGTTTTGTTTTCTTTTAAGCCCTGGAGGCCATATGGTCTCTGTCACTGCCACTCACTCAGCCATGGCAGTGCCAAAGCAGCCACAGGCCACATGTGAGAGGCGTGGTGGAGCAAAACCGTGTGTGTGTGTGTGTGTGTGTGTGTGTGTGTGTGTGTGTGTGCCACCATTCCAGTGGCCTGTAATGTTTGCAGAGCATGGGATGTTTTACAGCATGTTCAACCCTTCAGCACCTACTTCTACTTCTGGCTTAGAGCCTCTAGACTTAGGTGGCAGGTTTTGCCTGGAGGTTCCTGGTGCCTGATACAGAAACACACACCCAGAAGTCACGCCCTGAGGGCTGCCTGTGACTGGGGGAGGCGCCTGCATGCTTGAAATTGTTTTTAGGATAAACAAGCATATTAGGAAAACTTGGTTTTCCTCCCGAGGGGACCCCAGGAGGAGAGGAGGCTGCTGGTTATGCATGCGCTCCCGACTCCTCCCCCGTCCCCAGCAAATGAATGGTCCATGGTGCCTGACTTACACAATCTTGGATGTCATTGCTTTTTGTCCTCCCTTTTTTTCCTTTTTTGAGACATGGTCTCATTCTGCAGTCCTGGCTGGTCTAGAACTTGCTGTATATGCCAAGCTTGGCTTCCACTAGAGGTGCTCTGCCTGCCTCTGCCTCCTAAGAGCTAGGATTAAAGGTGTGCACCATCATTCAGGGTCTGTTTTCTGTTCTTCCTTCTTAACTTTCTGCTTTAACTTCTCTTGATTGGCAGACAGAGTCGTTTAGATTCTGTACTCAGTGTCCTCTCCTTTTCCCCTCTGCTAAATATGCTTTTAGGTCGGATAAGAAAATGACCATTTAAGCCACGCATGGTGGCATACACCTTTGATCCCAACACTTGGGACACAGAGACATTCAGATCTCCGAGTTCAAGGCCATTCCTGCCTACACAGAGTTGCAGGTCAGCCAGGACTACACAGTGAGACTGCTCGAAAAAAAAGAAGGAAAGGAAAGGAAGGAAGAAAAGGGGAAAGGCGTGAAAGTGGGTCTTTATACTGTGTCCACTGCTCATGGATTTAAGTTCCATGCTCTGCGTCTTCCTGTTGGCTCCCACCACGGAGTGTGGCAGCAATTTGAGAACTGTTCCCTTCTCCCAGCACTGGCATAGTCTTTCGCTAGAGCTCAGAAGGGTTATCTCCAAGAATGAAATATCAGGTTTATTGAGTGATGATCTCTGGGAAAGGGAAGATGGCTTTAAAAGAGGAGATAGGAGCTTTGCTTAGTTGACTTTGCAAGAGCTCTCTTCGCAGTGAGGATCGGAAACCCAGAGTGAATAGTAAGTAGAAAGGAGCTTACGGGCCCATACAGCCTACGACTCAAACCCAAGAGCTAAGATCCGTGCTATGTTGCTACCGTAAAATACTTGAGCCTGGATACTTTATACGGAAAAAAGGTCAGCTTTGGCTTACAGTTTTGGAGGCTGAATCCAAGCTCAAGGGCCACATCTGGCAAGGGTCGTGCTGTGCATCATGTGGTAGATAATATCATGGAACGTGATGAGAGCAGTGGGAGAGGGGGAGCATACGGAAGAGTATCCGCTGAGTGGTTGAGGGAGAAGCACCAGACTTAGGTGTCACAGTCTGGTCCAGTGAGTGCTGACTTAGCCCCATGAGACTTAGCCGACCCAATCCTGTAACTTGGTCCTTTCAGCAGGCATGCTGCCTTGATCTAGCTACCCCTCACGTGTTCCCAGCTCTCAAAAAGATCCCAGTACATCTCAATACTGTGACACGGAGGACCCAGCAATGCAACTTTGCACAACAAACCCTCGCCATAGCAGATGCTGTGAGGATTTCATCTCTGCATTCTCTTTTCCTGTTTGGCTTCATTATTAGGAAGACTTGGGCTTTTCTAGACTAGAGATCTGACTTCCACCCAGGGAACATACCCAGAGGACAAAAGCATGTCTCATCTCAGCCAGAGTCCCAGGACTGGCTCTCATTGGGCCAGCAGGAGACATGTGTTTGCCTCTGAACCAATCAGGAGACTAGAGGATAATGATTGGCTGGGCCTGGGCACCTTATGCTCTTCCAAGCCATGCAGACTGGGGACTGACAGAGGTGGGCTGGGGATGCTGCTCAGTTAGTACAGTGTGTGCCCAGCATGCCTTGGGTTGAGTCCCAGTACCACATAGACTGGGTGTATTGGCACGTGGCTGCAATCCTCATACTTGGGAGGCAGAGGCAGAAGAATCAGAAGGGTAGTCAACTACATAGTGAGCTCAAAATCATCCTGGGATGCATGAAACCAAGAAGAAAGAATTGGCAAGGAGGCTGAGGATGTAGAAGCTGAGCCTTGAATGTACAAGGTACCAGTTTCAATACCCAGACAGACACCCACACACAAACACAGATAATGCATGGCAACCCTTCTACAGCATGTTTGGTTATTAACATCAGGAAGAATGAGATGGGCACATGCTGTTAATCCCAGTACTCCTCAGGCAGAGGCAGGGGGATCTCAGTGTGTTCAAGGCCAGCCTGGTATACACAGTGGCTTCTTTTTGTTGTTGTGTTTTGGTTATTTGAGACAGGGTTTCTCTGCATAGCTCTGGCTGTCCTGAAACTCTATCTGTAGAACAGGCTGGCCTCAGACTTAAAAAGATTCACTTGCCTCTGCCTCCCTAGAGTCCTGGGATTATAGGAATGTGCCACTGGGCCTGGCTGCACAGAGAGACTGTTGTCTAAAAATAAGTAAGTAAGAAAAGGGATGGATGGATGGATGGATGGATGGATGGATGAACGAATGAATGAACAAACAAATAAAATCAGGACTAGCCACCTGGAGAAAGCGGGCGCTTGCTCCACAGCTGCTGCGGTCCTGCCTCCTTCCTCAGTCAGTTGCAGTACTAGTTTTCAGAACCACATCCTCGATAGGTGGACCATCATAGCCGCCATCCGAGACCTCTCTCGGCCTGTCCGTGGTCCACCCTCCCACCTCGATGCTCTGTCCTCCAGGAGACACACAGGGTCTACAAGCAGAAGCTGGAGGAGCTGACCGCTCTGCAGACGCTGTGCAGCACCTCCATCGGCAAGCAGAAGAGGCATCTCAAGGACCTGAAGCACACGCTCCAGAGGTAAGATGCTCGAACGGCCCCCCAGGGTTGCCTGTGATTGAGACTGCTCTCACTCCGTAGGTAGCTGAGGACGACCTTGAATTTCTGACCTTCCTTCTTCCCCTCCTGAGTTGGGATTACAGGTGTCAGCCACCACATATGGCTTACACAGTGTTGTGTTTTCTGGGATGGAGCCCAGGGCTTTGCACAAGGGAGGGGAGCCCTCTACCAACTCAGCTACAATCCCAGCCCTCCTGTGGTTCTAAGGGACAGAAACCCAATTCCAAACTGGCTAAAGAAGAAACCCAGGGCTGGCTTCAGGCTTCACTGGATCCAGGGGTCAAAGTGTGTTTGTAGGAATCTGTTTTTTTTTTTTTCCCCCTGAATGCTGCTTTTCTCTCAGCCACTGAGGTGGCCACTGGCGTGCTGAGCTTAGGCCCTCCAGTCCTCCTGACTGAGGAGTCTGGGGCTTTCGGCCTCTGTCTTTTTAATACATGTCTGCTGGTCCTACTGGACACTGTGGGTGCTCATCAGAACCCCAGTCAGTGCCAGAAGAGCTTCTGTGTGTGACAGCTGGAGCATCTGCAGACACTGCTTGGCATTACCACAAGGGAAGCACCCGCTGAGGAAGGCTGACCCGAGACTGAGGAGCCCTGCCCCTCCAAGGGCCTCCTAGTGTGCTTCTCTTTTTCTTGGCTTTTAAAGACAGGGTCTCATGTAGCCCAAGCTGGCCCCACACTGCCTAGATCAAGGACGACCTGAACTCCCAATCCTGCCTCCACCTCCCAAGTGCTGCCTCTTCCTCCTCTTCTTCCTCCACCCCACCTCCTCTTCCTCCTCTTCTTCCTCCACCCCCACCTCCTCTT